AAAAAACACATAAAGAAATTTTATAAATAATTTTTTAACTAACTTATTTATTACTTCGTGCTCTAGTAACCGACAATTAAAATAGAAAAATGCAAGTCCTACCATTACTGTCGTAGTTCGTAGAAGTGGTATTTAAAAAGTAAATTAAGTAATTAATGAACACTTATACGAATGAAACGAGGCTGGAAAATTCCTCTGAACGAAGCGAGATAATTATAAAAATTCGATATTAACGATACTATTATAGCTCAGTTTAATATTTACCGTCCGCCCGTATTTTACACGACAAGGGGATTACGCTTGAAAGGCAAACGTAAACTACGATATAGAGATTTAACGTTCGCTATTTGGTACTCGATCATTCCGAGAATGTTTCCTCTAACGATTCATCTCGCGTCATGTAACAGCATGCCCTTTATTAGTGTCAAAGTTACAATCTTCCCTGTCTATATTGTTATATGTCAGCAAAAAATACTATAACCTTACTTTTACAGACCTGTCATAAAATAAGAAGTCATAAATTAAGGTAACAGTCATGTAGAGCTTTATGAAAATTCTACTGTCTTCAATAATTTTAGCGAGATATCAACTCAAGGTTTAACAATTGTTCATTCAATTAAATCAAGATCAATTATAAAATGGTATAACTATATTCGGTTAATGCATTTAGTTTTATCCAAGTATCTTAACCCATCTCTCGGATAATTTCCGACATGTTTGCGGCGATTACTTTCGCGTCGGGCTGCGAGCGCGGCGGTGTGATATATGAGCTCACCTACGTTTACGTTTTCGTATAATCCCCTTTCGCTCGCGTATAATAACCCGTGAATAAACATAAAAGGCGGTGGCGCAGCGCTATGACGTCACTAGCGTCGTAACTCGTAAATAATTGTCGCGGCTCCCGCGCTAATTCCTCGCCAAGAGCGCAATCTATGAGATCGCTCGCGTTGCGGTTCTATGAACGATTGCAACCGGTATCTCTGCCTGTTGCATCCACATAATATCTATTTAATTAAAAAATAAATACTAAAAATGTAAATGCTGAATGCTTACTATAATATAAAAACTCAAGTAAGTGAATACAAATGGAAGTCAAAACATGATTGTACCAGTATCGGCTCATTTTGACTTGAACAGCGATGTAATTAAAAACCAGGTAATACAAAGTTAATCGAAAATTTGTAATGAACACATAAGGCAGGTATAACGAGAAGCAGGCATGCGTGGCGCCGGCACTGAGGGGCGAAGCTCCACCGTGAGCTGCCCGAGGATGTCACAGCAGTAATTAAACATTCCTCAACCCCTCTTGATATTACCCGTATGAAAATTCTAACAATGTCGACTGCTAGGCGCGCACTATGAAAATGTTATGCAATAAACAACGCATTATCGCCAACGTACCAGCTGTTTAAAAGCTTTCATAGTTAACTCAACATTAAATTCCGTTTTATGTCACAAAGCGTGTGATCATTATTAATAATCCCTAATGTATACAAAAGGTATTAATACAGCGATGATCATGTTACAACTAAATATTAGCTTCTCTACTCACATCAATAAGCAAAACGTTTAAATTATGTAGAGCAAGTCGTCATTAAATTATTTAAACTTTCGTAAGACATTTTATAATAAATAATTTAACGGCTATTATGTGTGAGACGCGACGCGACCGCAAATCAACCCTACTAACACTCACCCTGAAGATGGACGTTTGATGGGTCTGAAACTAGTCTGTGCCGCCACCGGAAAATAGACGTGAGTAATGGCCGTTAAATAATTAGTAAGTCGTCAAGCAATTTTAATATAATAAACTTTAAAAACAATTGATAGAAGTATTCCTGATGGCTAAAGAAGTTTTCGCCTCGTAATACCATTAATTAGGCTACTCCATAACGTTGTTAATTTTAAATGATGCCTCTGAATCACTTATTATTTTCACCCCGTACATTTCAGCTATTCGGACTAAGTACTGGCATCGGACGTGCCGAGAATCCGTTAATGTAAAGTAGCGCCTCATTTTTCATCGTGACACAACTGTCTTATTAATAGGAGTTAAAAACTTCTACCAAAAAACATCGTTTATTCCATCCGCGTGTTTTTTGTTTCAACAAACCGACAGTCGTTTTTCAGTAACGTATATTACAAAAGTAATAAAAACATCTCAATGTCAATGTTATCAGTTTCAATATCAGATTATTAGAACAAAAAAACACACTCTCTAGTCCAGTAAAGTGTTTAAGAAAGTTGTTTATTTTAAAGCCAAATCGAGGTCAATATTGAAAAAAATTTTGTAAATTATTGATGCGTGAATAAATAATATTGGATGCACATTTACGTAATCCATTGTACAATTCTAAAGTACCGAAGGTTTATATGTTATCAACTTAACATCGAGCAGCTTGTTCTGTAAGTATAGCTAGCATCAATCAAGTTTCACATCTTTATGTTCTGGTAATCATCCATTGGAGATTTAATATCCTGAACTTGGCTTAAAGTGGTGCTACATTTTGAGTACTATAATGGCCAAGAAGTATTTTAATGTAGATTTCTCGTCAAGTTAACCCTAATGCGGAGTCAATTTTTAAACGACTTCAAATAGAGCATTCAGAAATGTTGACTAACGCATAGTAAAAAGTTTTAATTGATTATTGTTTTTCGACCATAAATGTGTTAGTTTTGCTTTTCTAAACTACATAATCATTTATCATTAACTAACATGAATAGTTAAACGAACGTTCCCGTGGAGCTGTTAGCTAATTGTATCCAGGAATTCATTTTAGGAACGTAATCTCGAAAATCGCTTTCACGTACGTATTCTTAATCATCGTTATTCAATTTCGTTAACAATTCACATTAGGACGAATGGCATCCCGACGTAATATGAGACATGAATAGAGGCTTTTAGCTGTATTAGTATGAGGCGGGTTGAGCGAGCAATTGTTATGATGAAATTAATGTCCCCGCTTAGCGTATTAACTTTACACCTGGCAACACCAACCTTCGGGAACTTTCACAAACAACCGATGCATCAGTTTAGTTGAGTAATGAAAAATTAGCTCTTATGTCTGTCCGTGCGATCGCTGTTAAAACTATGGATTAAATAGTGAATTTATTACTAAACAGTTCTCTAAAATGTATTCACTAAGTTATTTTAGTTAGTAGTCTTTTTCCAACTAAAATAGTATAGGGAGAGGTGGAACTCGTTACCTGCTGATCACTTAATTTTAGATTTGCTTTTTTTTATATGTAGGATTTTAATCTTATTATATCGACATATAGGTAAAGAAGATAGAACACAAAGTAAATAGGCCTATCAGATCTCACCAATAAGTTCAGAAATACAAGGGCCTGTCCCGCCACTGGCGGATAGAGGCACAGATAGCATAAAAATGACGACACTGTCAGTTAAGGGATCAAAATCCATTATATATTTCCATCACTTATTTTACATATTTATTAAAAGACAATTAACAATTTGGTGGGACAGGTCCCTAAAATCTTTACTCTATAGTTAAATCGTGTTGCAATATTGATAAAATCCCGACAGAATCCATACTTACATTGATTATATCGGTGTACGGTAATAAATTGCTTTAACCACAAATAATGGGTCGCGGTTACCGAACGTACATGCCTACTCTGACGGAAGACTTACCCTTTGTGTTCGGACACGATGAAATGTCATCAAAGTTTAACGATGCCCTTTACATGCCGCCTGTCGCTCATACAACATTCATAAAGTTTTCATTATTATATGACAAATTTGATTTCACTACGATATCAAACTAATTTACTCACTGGAAATAGAACAGGGATTATTACGGTTAAGATATTATAAAATGAAGGAATTGTTACTATTACAAAAATATTTGTGGAAAAACGTTAAATTGATCATTTACTAAAACTACTAACATGTTTTAGTGTACCTGTTTAGGAAGATAATAAAAACGATGGAAATATTTCTTCAGGGTTTTACTCCGGATTTTTTAAAGAAAATCTTCTCTGGTCAATATCTTCTTGAATTTTACTGGGTAATCCGATGAAAACGATTTGAAAATTATATAAGTACTAGTATTCTGGGATGATATCCAAATAACTGCTGTTAATTGGCAGGCTGCAAAGTTCAGGGTTCAAATCCTAAGCTGGCAATAAAAATTAAAATACTACGTAATGTTAAAATTTCTTCGTAAAAATTCTCGTTATAGGATATCAATAAGCTTTTATTGTGATGGTTCAGGAAATATTGACGTTCACGGGAATCCAGCTATAAATCTGATGTACAAATTTATGGCCTCGCCTTTACAAGAGGACCAAACATATATGTATGAGGATTTGGTAAAGTTCATTTTACGTAAAATGATCACATTGAAATTATTAAAATTAAAAATTATTTTGCCAACCAAAAGGCATTTTTCATATTAATCCTTTATAAGGACAGCTGAAGAAGTTTTAATAGGTCGCTTTCACTCGCCTAACAGAATAATTTCGTGGCTTTTAAGTAGACAGCGATAAGAAGGATTATAAAGGGAAAAGGGAAGAGAAATGTTGATAAGGATATAATGGGTCGGCCATGAAAACTGACAGGAACGGAGAAATTTATCTCGTCCATCATTACATTACTCAAGGTAATGAAAAAGGGCATTACAAATGAAAGACGTTTTTACTTTGCCTTCGTATAATGTTAAAACCTTTACAAAGAACTTGACAAATATCAAAAGATAAAACACGGAAACTATTTTTTGACGTTATGAATTACTCATGAGATATGTTTACACTGTTTTCAAATATAAATCGATATAACATTAGTTTAAATAGTTTTGAACACTTAACGATATACTAAGTTAATATTAAATATTACAAATTACAATATTGATTTAAAATATCAAGTTGACGTCTCAAAAGTGGAACAGAAGATAGAAGTATTTTAAAATTCAAACATTCTTTTTTAGTTATCTCACGTTACATTGTTTCATTATTATTTTTAAAATTGAGATTATAAAATCTATGTTTTTTATTCATTCTTCAGTAAAGTGTAATATTAATAGTGTACATTATGTTTTAGTATTCTTGAATCGATTAGAAGCACTAAGTACAGGGTCATACTCATGTGATAAAAATTACATATTAATTTATTATGATTTTAAATATAATATATTCGATCCTAGTCGTGATATTTTACTGTTTGGTTAGTATCGTTGCCAATTGCTAAGGGCACACAAGTTGCGCGAGGTTGTGCGGCGTGCAGGGCCGGACTCCGTGCGTGGTGACGGTCAAGCCGCGCGCGGGCGGGATTATGTCGCGCCCACTGATACGCAATCTATGCACGCAGCCTACGAACCCCGGGATCTTCATACCCGATAACCTATACATGTGATTTTAATATAAATGTCCTCGAAATATAACCAGAGGAATGGAAATAACCATTTACATACATTATAATAGATATTTACAGCGAGAGAGCGTCGGTGGCTCAGTGGTTTAAGCACTTAACTTGTAATCTACAGGTCTTCGGTTCGAATCTCGCCATGTACCAATGTGATTTTCGATTTTTCGAATTTTCATATGTATATAATTTACCCGACGTTCTTGCGGTGAAGGAAAACATAGTGATGAAACCTACACATATCTGCGAAGAAATACAAAGATATGTGTGAAGTAAACCGTATACATGACGTATAGTGAGCTGGTGATGAGATACTTACAGAGTAACATTATCCGGGGCGCGGCCAATGAACACGTACGGGTCGATGTTGAGCGAACTCATAGGGCCGTGCGTCGAGCCCCTCGCCGCAGCGGCGCCCAGCTTCAGCAGCGCGTCTTTCTTGTATCTCCTCGCAGATAACTTAGACCTCCCATCCACTCTGACCTTGCCGGAGCGTAATTCCAAAGGGCCGTTTCCCGCATCCCACCGCAATACCGCCTTGTCTTCCACGAAGCCGAGCCATAAATAATCTCTCACACCTGAGGCGCTCATTAACGCGCCCCCGCCGCAAACGGCCGACACCTCGGCCCATATATCGAAACTTTTGGCGGGCAGCCTCGTGCGCGCCGTCATGTGACCACGCCCGTCGAATAAAGGCGCGACATACGCGTCCTTGTCCCGACCGTCGTAATATTCCTCGTACAGCGAATAATAATCGTCCACTTCGTTCGTTATGTACTGCTCCTCGAAATTATCGTAAAAAGTCGCATGATGACGCTCTGTAGTCTTTTTCATGCATATATCTTCGTAATCATCGTTAACCGACACGGGCATAAATGAATGATATATCTTATCTGCGAATTAATCAATAGATACGATAAAGATTTTTTTATAATGAAAAAGATTAAAAGTTCCTCTACAGCTACCACTGGTGCGTCTACCTTCGACTAGCGTTCCATAGCTAGCGGTATCCGAGGGGCGGGAGGACGTCTACACAC